AAAACAAAACTCAAATTAACTGTAGATTTTTATATCTAAAAAGAAGAAGCAGTTTTAAACTCACTACTTAACTGAACGTACAAGTAAGCACTAACCTCTCATTGTTTAATTTGTTAAATGGGGAAAAAAAAAAAAAAAAAAAAACAGACAACAAAGTTCTAGACATACACCAAACCACAAAAATTAATAATTTTTTTTATAATTTATCATTTTAGAGTTTAAAGTTATATATGACCTCCCTGACCTCGTACGGATCATAAGAAGAATCTGGATAACGGCCTTTCTGGATCTGTTGGATCAGCTCTAGATCATTATCAGTGAGTATGACATCTTGTCCTGTCGTATTATCTCTTACTGTTCTCCTAGTATAAAGATACCAATGAAGGCATTAAAAACACAAACATTTTAGATATTTGTACAAAAGAAGAAACAACATACGATAGGTTTACTTGATAAATGATTACTTGACTTGCTTAAAGTGAGAAACAAAAACTTGAACAAAACAGAACTGCTCAAACAGTTGGTAACAACAGAAGGGCACAAACAATTTTCCAGAACCATCATTTGTCTATTTTATTGTAATTGTGAAATATTACAAGCTTAAACCGCACCAATATAATAAAATATGACCTTATAGGGTTCATTGTGAATGAAGGGTGTGGGGTGTCATGATCTGTCAATGAAGGGTGTCGTGATCTGTCAACACAGATTAGTCACCTCTGTTCTGTAGATGATGTTCTTCACAAACCCCAGAGGTAAACGTTTAGAGGAGTAATATCCGACAGACATACAGACCATGGGATAGGCTCGTCACGACTCCTTCTTTTAACACACTCCCCGACTCTTAACACTGTCGGCACCAATTCTTGATAGTATTCTTAACTTGTGGATATTTTCCGTATATTTAGCGCTAGAATAGGCAATTTTATCACTGTTAGCCAAAAGATGAAGTCTTCCCTGTTGCCACGATCGTTGATAACATATTTGTTGACTCTATTCTTCACAACAAAACGACTATTAAAAAATTTATTGGTACTAAAAAACAAAACATATTGACAGATATGGGAGGAGTTTTTAACACCACTCAAAGCACAGGCTCTCCTTCCTCCTCAGTCCAGCCCTGATGACTTTTCAACAAAGTGAAGTTAGGTATTTTGCTTTACAGTATTAGGCCTAACACTGTTGTTCCATTTTGCTGTCTTCCCAGACATTAATGTTAAAAAGGCCTACTACTACTACTACTTCACTATCTAGAGTATCTGCTCGACACTATAGCAACAAGACAAACAATGATTCTTATAAATAGTATCGCCATGTTACCTCAACAGTTTATCAGTTTTTAAAATCTGACCTATCATATAACATAATTTTTTAAAACTTCTTCCAAGTTTAGTTTTTTCTTTATACTGTGTATGTGTAACAATAATCTTAATGTTTAAACATTCCTGAACTAAATTTCAAAGTTCGATTCTAATCACTAAATTAAAAAAAATCATATTCCTTTTTTCAAATATTTACCTTCAAACTATTTACTCACAGAAACTTTAATACTTTTTTCTTAATTACTGAAGTTCAATAATTAACATACCAGTAATTTGGATCATCCATTTTTTTCAAGAATTGATCCAGTTCATCAGAGTTCATGGGTTTTAAGATCTTTTTCCCTTCCAAGTCATAACCTATATGAGGATATTCATCATACCACCTCAATGGAATATTTCCTACAGTGTTTCGTAAATCCTGGAAAGACAAAATAAAATATAATTTCTACTCGCTTGCAAGTTTCATTACGTATTTTACCACCCCCTAAAGTTATAAAAATATTACAAAAAACATATTTAAATGCAGCTTTCAAGATTTGCAAATGCATTGGTACACATTACTACATTTGAAATTTGTGCTACTAGACTAATATAAGAAGAACATGGCATGGTGCTCGACTCGCAATCTGAGGGTTGGGACGAGTTTGATTTCCTGTCGCCGAATGTGCTTGTCCTATATGACTGCTGTCTGGACCAGCCAACCATGTGTAAAAATTCTTGGTTTATAAAATTACTGGTCAATCCCAAATTAGTTGAAATTAAGGTTGTTACACAGAACAACAACAGTATGAGGAGTCAAACTTTGTGCCCTATATTTCAAGACATTAGTTTATCTTCATGACAATGCAGTTACTTACTGGCTGAGCTGTCAACTTGCAATGTTTGTTTTAAATATATATATTCTCCTCTGGAGGCATAAACATGCATACGTTTATCAGTGCAGATGCACAAACACGTTGATTATAAGAAACCTGAATTGCTCAAACAAGCAGGTAGATCAGTGCAAGTCACTACATGCAATGTATGTATGGAAGAATGGTATTCAACACCACGAATATTGGACTCATTATTGCTGTTCATGGCTGACAACAAAATAACACACTGAAAACTCAAATTGAACTTTAAACTTGTATCCGTTTTAATTAAAAGAATTTTTAAATAAAAGGTATTTTTCTGGAAGCATTGTTTAATAAATTTTAATACTTTATTATGTCATATTTTGGTATCACTCTTATAGGGAGTTAAATCCCCCTACATGAACTAAGAAAGAATCCTAATTTTGAGTACCGTTAAATTTTGAAACAAACCTCTTCATCAGAAGAATCCACGGCATATTCTTCAACTTGTTCCACTTTCTTCTCTTCAGAATTTTTCTTTAAAAAGTATTCTCCATTTCTTTGGTCTTCATGGTGATCTTTCAAGTTCTCATTTTCTGAATCTTTGTCATTATTTGAATCTGCAGATTCCTGATAAAAAATACAAGCTATGAAACATACAGATTCCTGATAAAAAATACAAGCTACGAAACATACAGATTCCTGAAAAAAAATACAAGCTATGAAACATACAGATTCCTGATAAAAAATACAAGCTACGAAACATACAGATTCCTGATACAAAATACAAGCTATGAAACATACTTGCAGACAGGAAGTCACAATGTATCCCCCCCCCTAAAAAAAAGAATTAAAGATATTCCCTAACATGCAAATATACAAGGTTCTCTCTTCAGGTGGTAAACAGGCCTGCTGATGGGGGGCATAAAGGACCTTTAGGCTATATCTTCATTTAATCATAAAAACCATAGTTTTTGGCTTTTTTTTTGCATACAGATGCCTAATACATTAACAATGATTGAAATAATAATTTGAGTAATAATTAATATACATTTGTTACTTTACAGATATTTGTTGTTGCTTTATTAATGTTTTTATGCTTATAATGTGAGCTAAAAATGGCTGCTGCTATGAATTTGTTTGGTTTATGAGCTTGTTGGTGTCCTAATTTAGGATCTTCTTTTAATAAGTTCTTTAAAAGGTTAAAAAAAAAGGGAGGGGAGAATGTTTACCCCGGAGCCCATACTGGCTCTCAACGTCCTGGTGGTAAATAGGAATTTCCAGTAAAGTCAAGAAAAAGTAATTTTAGTATATACTTAAAGCTATTCAATACTTAGCCTTATATTTCCACTTAAAAGAATTCTGTTAGAATTACCAAATGAAATGCCTTATGAAAACACCAAATGAACCTAAGCCTAAATAACTGACATTTGCTTCCAATGTCATCAGTGAATCTTTCTGCTATCTGTTATCTAAAATATACAAATAAATAATAAAAACAGTCATCATAATACTGAGCACGTGCTTCAACCTACAAGTACTAATATATTTTCAGACAGACATTACATGCACTGAAAGACAAAAAAAAAAAAAGATGGTTGACGTTTTCCACTAATAACTTTTGCCGTAAAATTATTTACTGTTTATAGTAGAGACAGTTACAAGTTTTTTTGCATCTACTTAACATATCAACAATAAATAACCGACACCAATAGTTAACAAATCTCTGACATTAGAAGTTTATTTTAATCATAATGTTGTGTTAAAGCCAAATTTACATTTACATTGTATTATGACAACACACAAATGCACGGATTAAGCTATTGCTCGACAGTTCCCCAACATTTAAAAAGTGTTTCTACTTTGTGAGAACAAAATACAACAAATTCCCCAAATTACGAATAATTTCTTGTTCGGAGTCCAGGTATTGGCTCCGTAGAGTGTTGTGTTACTGTTTACGTGTGTGTGTGTGTGCAAAATTACAGTTTTAAGAAAGAAATATAAAATTCTGAAAACTGAACAATGTTTCTTAGACTTATTTTGTTTTACATAATATCCACAATTTCATAGAGTTCACTGACTATAGTTCGGCTTCCAATTATCAGACGAGATAACTCAAGTAACTCAGTTTAAACCCCAATAGAAATATTTAAACATAATAAAAGTGTTTTTTAAACATTAAACCACGATTCCTTTATCAAATAATACACAAATATAATTCACCAGTCTGATGACAATGTTTTAATACTTAAAAACTTCTTTAAACCGATAGATATCAACATTAATCGATTTTAAATACATACACGTCTAATTTTTACCATAGCATTGCTCTAGTTATATACAAGTTTCTGTTCTACTTTATAGGAGGATATGCACATATATTTGTGATACCTTAATGAACAGCATTACAAAAAAATGGCTTATTTGATACCATGAAATTAAACAATGGTGGACAATATGTTTATAAAGTCTCACTCCCTAGTTAGTCTAAGGGCTTTATAACTTTAAAACTGGTTTCCAATACAGGCAGTGTCACATCACAGTTTGTGTAACAACAAGCAAATATTTAAGGATTACCTTCAGCCTTGTTCACAATAACTTTCTGATAATAAAAAAAAATTATTCCACCCATTGATTTGAAAATAAGAAATGTATGTATATGAAGTCAGTAAGTTCTTGTAATCACCGGCAAAAAAAATAATAAATAGAATCAGCCAATCACCTGTTCATTAGAACTGCTGGCATCATCTGAAGTGTTGGCATCTTCTTCCTCTTCAAGATCAGAATACACACTAGACTCGGAATCACTGGCTGCCTCTGGGGTTTTTTCCATGTTGATATTAACTACGAGTTCATTACCTATCAAAAACTCACCTGTAAAATCAGTCCTAGTTACGAATCTGAACACCATTCAATGTAAGTATATTTTCCGAACAATGTATATAGCATGGAAAACATGGACTTAACTTTTTAACCACAACTAGGTTTAATGTGTTCTTACTAATTACTGAAATGATTTTTGTTCTTTATAAAAACGAATGTTATTATTATGTAAATCTTACGGTAAGGCTTGGTTTAATGTCTTTACTGTACTATAAGTTGTGATATAATAATATTAATATGCAATAAAGTAAATCAATAAATACTGAACACTTTTTAAACAGTAACTATCAATTCCACATTTTACAATACACACTTAAAACTTCAATGGATCTTGAATTTTTCGCTTATATTTCATAACTATATAGCTGGAAAATAGTCAAACTTGAAGGTGCAACAATGAAAAAGGCTAGGTTTATTACTTTGGTGGCTACCGAGTAGTGGCCAAGTGTAGCCTGTAGGTCCGTTTACCTGTACAAATTCAAAATTCACAGTCTCTTACAATTATATATAACTTTGAAATCAAATTACATTTATGGTTTACATTACACTAGAAATACTGAATGACAAATGGCAAGCAATGGCCGACGGTTCGACTGCAGCTTACTAATACTGTGAAAGTTTATTACTTACTTCAAAATTCAATTTATAGTAGTACTAAGAAGTTTACACTGACGAGTAAGGGCTTGTAAGTCGTAATATTTTTACTCTAAAGTCAGGAGTCTTACAATTAGCTTCATCTTAAAGTAAAGTGAAATAAATCAGTAACTAGTTTTCTAGAATTCGAAACTTATTTTGAAAGCTATTAATTATCAAATTAAAATTTAAATATTGTTCAAATTCCACACGTGGTCATTCTGAGGACTTGAGATTTGGGATTATACAACCAGAGGGCGCTTGAATTGTAAATATACTGGTATATAAAAATATTATAATTGTAAGTTTCAGAAATTTTATATTTTTATAGTGTGATTAAGTTTCATTGTTTTGTTTGAATTCATTTATCAGGGTTATTTGTTGTTTTTTAGGAGAGCAAAGCCACATTAGGCTATTTGCTGTGTCCACCGCAGAGAATCGAATCCTAGATTTTAGTGTTGTAAGTACGTAATTTACCGCTGACCCACTGAGGGACTTTTACGTTTATTAATAAATACAGTTAATACGTGTAGTGTTAACACATTACCCCAAATATTAACATCATAAATAAGATAAACTTTCTTTTGTCATCTTAATTTTGAGTCCCCCGTTGGGCCAACGGTAAGTCTTCGGATTTACAATGCTAAACTCAGGGGCTCGATTCCTGTCGGTGGACACAGCAGATAGCCCGATGTGACTTTGCTCTAAGAAAACACACACACACACACTTATTATATTTGAAATACCCTTTATAACATCTCAGTAAGACATCACATTTACTATTTCTCTCATACTATTCAAAGTATTTTGCGCATACAAAAAAAATGTTATATATATATATATACAACCTGTCCCTAAAGTGCTGATGGTTACTGTAAACCCAAGGAATGCGTGACCTAAACAAAAAAGTTAAAATCGAATAATTTAACTTAGCCCTCTTTGTGTGATTTAGTGACCCATTTTCTGCATACATTCATCAACCTCCGCAGAGGGCGTTTCGTATATCTCTCCATAGCTGTGTATACAAAAGGTTGTGCACTTCCGTACATGGTTATATTTAAGAAAGAAAAGGCGTAGCAGTAAGTGTGGAGGAGTGGATTACATGATTATATCATTCCGTTTGACTACAGATTTAGACCCATTTTGTGCTGGTTTAATTACATTATAAAGTGATTGGTAATACTAAGTGCTTACGCAACGTGACATAAAGTTAATGTTTCTCTAGTAACATTAATCGTGTTTAGTGACACTGACAGACCGTAACGTATTAACAATATATATATCATTTATATATTTATGTAGTACTAGTAAATAACATTTACATCGTAAGATATAATAAAATAATTTAATCGTAAAACTAAAAGCTAAGAAAGAATTAACTTTAATTAAAATTTAAAAGATGCACACCATAGCTCTTAGGACTAACAGTAACACTACTAACAGTGACAGCGTTAGTGAAACTTCTACTAATTCAGACTGTACAGCAAGTACTACTTGTAGCAACAGCAATAGCGTTCCTGCGTTTCTGACCAAACTGTGGAATCTTGTGGAAGATCCTAAATATGACGATTTAATATGTTGGAGTCAAGTGAGTGCAGTTATGTTACTAATAACAGTACCAAATTCTACGTAATAATTTTCATTGGTTATGTAATCAACTTCATAGCTGTTAATATTAATTTATTATTATTGACGCATATGAACAAAAGTTTTAAAAGATGCAGTTTGAACTAAAGATGTCAAGATGATCTGTAACCCTCATATTAGTTTTGATTAAACATTTAAATAAAAAACATCTTTTAGAATTTTACTGGAGAATCCTTGTATTGAGTAATGTATGATATATATAGTTTTAGACTCCAGTTAAAAGCAATCTTTAAACACATCATATTGTTACAATGCTGGATGTCACTTCTATTGTACCCCGTCACATTTTTTTCCTATTAGTATTTACTTATCTTCACTTTTTTTATTTGCATATCTTATGTTATTGAAGGCTGCAATTTTTTTTAATTTAGAAGTTTGTATTGGTTTTGGCTAGAGGGAGCTTATAACGTCATGAGATGAGTTCATGGCATAATAGAAGTTTAGGAATATCATTTTGTCAAGACTATATTAGACTTTTATCACTGTTGATTTATACGATACAGACAAATGGAAAGAAACTAAAGGAAACATTCAGTAGTTGTAATAGCTTCGGTTCGGAAAGCAGGGAATTTTCCTAATATCTGTCGATAATCTTATATTTCCTAAACCCATTCTATTATTTATCATCCTTTCCATGACTTCTTGAAGAATAGAGGTGACTGAAACCAGTTAATATGATAGTGGAAAAAAAAAAGATTCCATTGGCCAATGAGGAAGTATTTACAGCTGTTTTCATTGATGTTGAGAAAACTTATAAAGTCATGAGACCAAGGTTGACATTTAAAATGAATAGGTTGTTTTTAAAGGAATGATTTTTTTTTTTAGTAATCAAACGATTCATGAAAAGGTTCAGTTGAAGTAATCGGGATATTTTTTGAAGTTCAAAATGGTACTTTTCATGGAAGTGTAATCAGTCCAACTTATTCCAGTATGCTCTTATCTCCTTTCACATAAACCTGTCTCGATCTTCTTTCTGACCCCTAAACATTGTCAGAAACTTTTAATACTCAGTGCACCAGTCTATACCCAAAATTCGTGCCACTTTTGAATGTGTATATAGCATGTCTATCACATGTACCACCTACTATATCCATTCTTAGCTTACAAAGCAAGGTTTAGTCTTAACATAGACACTAAGGTTTTGAAGTTGTGTTGTGATATTAATATGTCAGTGGTGTGAATAAAAACAAGATCTGAGAAGAATCAAATTATTTGGCTAATTTAGAAATACAAAAGTAGAATCATTCAATTAAACATATAGTGACCATTAATATCTTTTCAGGGCGGAACAAGTTTTATTATTCGAAATCAAGACCAGTTTGCCAGGAAGCTGCTTCCAAAATATTACAAACACAAAAATTTGGCCAGTTTTATTCGTCAGTTGAACATGTGTAAGTACAGAGGGGGTAGAAAAGGAAATAGAAAAAAAACAGATTTATCAAATTCATAAAAAAAAAAGTATATAAATGCATTTAAGAAAAAAATGTCACGTTAAAACATACTTTTGCAAAATTAGATGTCATACTTGTTTCTTATCTCAAAACTTGTTGTGTTATAAAATAATTACTTAATAACAGAATTCTGTTTTCTCTCTCTAGATGAAATATGATTATGTAGTTTGTTTTGTTAGTGTATTTGAAATCAAATGTCTCAGAAACAACCTTCCTATTCCAAGCTTTAATAAAACCAGTAGTATAATGACTTTTTTTATATAATATTTGTGATAGTTGTTCAATATGGCTTCCATTGGCAATATCTTCAAACCTGTTTATACATTTCATGAATACACAAAGTTAGGTCTCCCGGTGGGGCAGCAGTAAGTTTACAGACTTACAACATGAAAATCTGGAGTTCGATTCCCTGCGGTGGACACAGCAGATAGCTGAATGTGGCTTTGCTTTTAAAAAAACAAGAGGGAATCCTCAATAGCCATGCCACTTGAAGTGATTTTAGGCAAGATTAGAGTAAATTAATCTATGAGACCTTTTTTCCTTTTTATTAGCTATATTTTTGTGTTCCAGCAATACCAAACATGGGTTGCGCATATACCTGACTCGATGTTATTATTCATCAGGATCTCTACCAGCCTAGCCTCAAACTGATACTTTTAAACAGAATTAGGGTAAATTAACCTATGAGACCTTGGGCATGATCAAAAAGGGTTTGACCTCCTGAGTCCAAAACTGTAATTAAATCTCAAATTGGTCAAGAAATGATGGAGCTATGAGCTAAAAGTTTGTACTTGAAAAACTCGGAGCCATTCTGTGAGCCGCTATGCTGTGGCTAACAAACAAACAAACAAATACAAAATTAGTTATTAACAGGGCTATGTCATTTTTCTTGTTTGTAATATTTTATATAACTGCATTAATTAATGAGTCATAATTAGTTATTAATTAATAAAAATGTCCACATTTAATTGATTTTGATATTTTCGTAGATCCCATAGTCAAATTGGTATGTATATAAAGTTTAAGATATTTACACATCGTTAAATAGTTTTATTAAAGTTCAAAATTGGTAAGTTGTTTGGGAACACCCTGTAAATATAGCAGCTTTCTCGCTCATTCTTATGTAAAATCGTATGGTGAGGACCCCCAACATTACGTTTAATCAAACACCTAACCAGTCAACCAATTTGACATTATGTTATTTTTTTGTTCATTCACAGAACTCAGTACTTATAATAACCTTTTTGTTATTGTTGATTTGTTTGCCAATTTTTCACAAATGTATGATCTTGCGAGTGTGTTTACCTATATACTATGTGTATGAAATCATACATTCTGCCTTATTGCTTACACCTCTATCTACTTGTATGTTCCATTGAGTAAGGGTAATGACCTGTTTCTCTGCAACATCAAGAAGATTCAGGTATGGTGTTTTACAGCAGTGTCAAACCACTTATTTTTTTTTCTTCTTACTTTTATGCATACTCTTACATACCTAACCGATTTTACCACTGATGATGAATACAACAACCGACATCATCAGGAAGACCTGCTCGGGACTTTCCCGAAGACTACGGCAGATTAGCAGCCAAAACATACTGGAGGATAAAACCTAATTAGTGTTAACTTTAAAATAATGATGATGATGATAAAAACGTTACTAAATAGACTTCTGTAGGCTACTGACGATGACAGCGGCTAATAGTCAGTCATCGTAACCTTACCATAACTACTTCAACTAATAAAATCCAACCATATAATGGTAATGGAGATATAGATTTGTAGCTTTGTATTTCATTTAATTACCCACTTTTTTCGTTATTATTTCTCTAGACCACATAGGATGAACTAGAGCTGATGTAATTTCACTGAATGGTTTGATTCCAAAATTTGACAATTCCCTCTTCATAACTCAAAATTTTAAACTAGAAGCCAATCTTTTTTTTTTTGTTTGTTTTTGGAGAAAAAAAAGGCAAAAATTAACATCCAGCAGTATATATAATATTCAATCACAATTGAGTTTATATATTTTTGTCTGTTAACATTCTCCTACACTATGTGCCTGTGCTATTATGTAGGGATGATACAAGTGTCATCCATCCCTACTATCTTGTTTACATTGTTTTTGAAGGATTGATATTAGCCATCACTACATTTACTTCGTTTTTTGTTTTTTTTTTTGAAAAGTTTTTTTATTTACTTGTAAATAATAGAGTATATATATTTTTTCTTCAACAGATGGCTTCAGAAAAACCAGCAACTTAGAACACAGCGGCCTCAAGAACGAATCTGATGAGGTTGAGTTTTATCACCAGTATTTTCTTAGAGGACAAGGGGTCTTTCTTGAATGCATAAAGAGAAAAGTAAGATATTGTTTACTAAATATGTGAGTCAGGCTAGCTGCAAGGATGTCAAAGACTGCAGTCGTAAGAGTCCCATGCTCAGTATTACACTTCCCACAATCGACATGTTTATTAATCCTCGTATTACCAATTTGTTTTATACCATCTTTATTTCATGTTAAACACTCCCACTAATAATAATAATAATAATAATAATAATAAAAAAAAAAAAAAAAAAAAAAAAAAAAAAAAAAAAAAAA